TTTTGCTTTTTAAAATATAGAGAAAAATCGCACTCGACCTATGAAGAAATAGCTAAAGATGATGAGTTAGACGAAGATTTTCCAATACCCGATTACAAGAAGTCCATGTTGTCGCTAGAAAGTAAAGACGGTATTGAAAAAAAATCCGACTCAGAAGAGCAACTAGCAGAGATAAAAACTGAGAAAAATATTTCAGAAGAGGAGTTCAATCTGCAACTAAAGTTCTCAATAATTTTTTCAGAGGAACATCATTTTTTAATGTTAAACATTATTGAAGTTACCGGTGATTTAGATAAGTTTGGATGCAAACATTTAAGAATTAATCTTACTCTGCTTCCAGAGAAAAAGTACCGAATGAAAACAAAACCCATTAGTGTAACAAACCTTACCAATGAAAACGGTATAGCCGTTTCCTCAGTAAAAGAAAATTTTAAATTTTCAAATATAACCAGAGAAAAACTCTTCAACTCAGCTTTTCGGCTGCGCCTATATGGAAAACAAAAAAGCCATTTAAAAGAAACATGTTTTGGTGAAATAATTGCTCAACTTGCAGATGTCGCGCAAAGAAATGATGGATTTGAAACAGTTCGAAATTTTTTACCAAAAAAAGAATAATCGCGTTCCGGCCTAAATTCTCGAGATAGCAATTATGATACTTTTCATTTTTTATTTTTTAATTTTTTAATTTTTATACTTTTAATGAGAGGTTTCATAAAGTTTTTTTAAAAAAAGAAGAATAGAGTAGGATATCAAAACAATTTACAAAGATTCAAAACCGCGGCAAGCAGAAGTTAAACACGCGCAGCAATTCTAATTGGTTTGTATTTTGGTTTAATAAAGTAATACTTTTTGTGTTTGTTTTTTTAAAAAATTTTTTAAATAGTTTTATTTTATTTATTATTAGTATTTTTTGGGTAAGAAAGATGCTCTAACATTAAAATCTTAAAAAAAAAAAAAAATGATAATAATGATAATTGTATTTTAATAATATATTTCAAAGCATTTATATTGGTCCAAAAACATGAGAAAGGTTTAATAAAATTAAGGACACCTGTCTTAAAATTAAAAATGTTTTTTTTAAATACTTATGTTGATAACGTAAAAATTTTTTCGGAGAAAATTCAACGGTAATTAATAATATAGCATAACACAGCCGTGTAGCCAAAAATAAAATCTTGAAAGGTCGAAGAGAAAAATTTTTCGAACTGAGAAAGTGCATTTATATTTTAAAAAGACTGAGTAAATACACTTCAATTTTAACTATGTGGAAGGTAAGATTAAATAATATTTTATTACTTTTCCGATATACTAGTTAATATCGCTTTTATGACCCAAGTGGGAGTAAAACCGCAGACTAACGGCTTTTGAATCAATGCAAGAGCTCACCACTACGCCACAGCTACCTTATTTTCATATATTTTGGAATTTCAAAAATATTGAGAACTTTACTTTTAGGTTGTCAATTTTTTCATAGAATCAAAAAAAAAGACTTTTTAATTTCAGAGAATTAACAAAAGTAAATTTAACTATTCTCAATTACACAACAATTTTTAATGCAAAATATTGGAACAGCACTGGCTCAAACTTAAACTTCCAAAAGTTTCTCTTCTAATTGGCTGCATTTCTCTCCCACCGACCAACAAAATTTCGGTCTTTAATGAAATCACCCATGCAAAAACGGCCATAGTCAAGAAAAAATGTAATGGTTTAATAATCACCAGTGACTTCAATTTTCCAGACGTCGAATGGTATGACGACAGGATTAACAACACTGGGGCAAAAAACTAGTTTATGCACAAAATTTGCCGAATTTGACATGGAATCACCAATTAGCCAAAAACGCTTACAACTTTCCTTGTTTTAACAGCTCGGAATTCATTTATGAGAAAGGTAACTAGGTCAAACTAAGCAAGAAACTCTCCCAAGTCGATTGGATAAATCTGTTTAAAGATCAATAAGCCGATGATTTTACTAAACCATCTGCGACAACTTCATTGAATGCTATCATGATTTCATTCCGCGCGCCCCCTCCAAACGAACCAAACGCAGGCAGCCTTTGCTGTCCAGCGAACTCGATAACTGAACTCAAAAAAAAAAAAACATTTAGTACCTGAACCGCAACAGCTATTGGCAAATCATTCAGATTCAAAAAATCACAGTTTTTGTTAGAGAGTGCAATCACACTTGAAACCTTGTCTAAAAAACTTTCTGCCATCCAATGAGAGAATTTACCCAACGATAAATGAAACCCTAAACGTCTCTACGCTTATGTTAGCAGCAAAAGTGCCGTCAGCAATTAGATAAATTCTATGTGTTTACCCTCTTGGGATATAAGCAGCGACCAAACATTTATTGCCAATATAGTAAGCAATTAGTTCCGGTCAGTATTCATGATTGAACCGTCAGGCCAATCTTAAACACCCTTCATCAAACGCGCAACCACTTTAATTTTTCCTGTTATCTTTACACTAATAATTTCGTTCGCAAACACTTCTCTGGTCTCAACGCCAAAAAATCAACTGGAGGTGACTATATTAGCTCATTTGTGCTAAAGGCATGTGCCAATGCGGCGGCTGCCTCACTTGCCATTATTTTTCAGAAATCATTAGGTCGTGGCTTTTTGGCAAACGTAACGCCAATATTAAAAAAAAGACTACAGACTTGACCCAGATAATTACAAGCCAATCTTACTTAATTCAGGATTGTATTGTAACCTGGATTGGATTATAACCAGATTGATTCGATTGGTTATGCTCTTGAACAAATACAAAGTTTCGCGACACGTTTACTCAATGAACGAGTATAACACTAACAGCAAAATTAACAGTACAAAACTCAAATTAACAACAACCAAAAAAAACCTAGTGGTTTAGATTAAAAACAACTTAAAGCATGAGAATCAAGCAAAATTGCCGTTACTAAGACAAATAATGTTCTTGGATTTTTAAAACACGCCTTCATTAGCAGAGACAACAAAAAATGGAAAAAGTTTTACTTCACCTATATAAGTCCATATCCTGAACTCGCAGTTACCGAATTTTGCCGTACCTCAAAAAAGACATAAATACCATAGAACGAATCCAGAATCCAGCATTGGGCTACCAAAGTACCCCATGAAATTAAGCACTTCGACTACGAGACGGAATTACTTCACTACTTGGACATACTTCACTACTCGAAAGACGTTTACGCAGCAATCTCATCCAAAAATGCAAAACCAAAAATAACATTAACTCAGTTACCTGGCATGTTACACCAATAGCATCTTACCAAGGTACAATCATCACAAGCTCTTTTACCGTGAAGTGGAAAAAAACTGCCTTGTTCAATACAACTTTTTTAACGACCACGACGCTCACTCATGGAACGCACTACCAAACAAAGTTTTCAGTGCTATTAGTATCAACTGCTTCAAAGCAAAATTTGATCATCAATCACAATGATTACAACAGTTTCCGTACAATCATGCACAAGCTACCACGGGTAACTGTTAATAGGCTTGCGGAACACACCCGTTCTGAGTAATTTAACTAACTAACTATGGAGTATTTAATTTAAGGAATATGCTAATTGCAGAATATCAATATATATATATATATATATATATATATATATATATATATATATATATATATATATATATATATATATATATATATATATATATATATATATATATATATATATTTTATTTAAATGAAGAAAAACATCATTATAGTAGTACTTAAAGTTTTGTGCCTTTCGGCAATCATTAGCTATTAATTACAAATTAAAAACGTCCAATCATTCTGGGTAACTTTGAATTTGCGTGTAAGATTGAACAAAACCTGTAAATGTTTTTAAATTTTTTTTTCTTTGGTATTTTTTTTGCCTGTTGCTTTAACATAGGATAATATGATAAACTATCCTTTTTTACAAAAGTTTGACCATAGATAACTGAATTTTGTTTCTCAAAAATATTTTTTCCTTCGATTTCCAGTTACACAGTCGAATGAGGTGATAATATCGTGTGTTGTCAATTTAGAATATTTGTTACTATATTGTAAATATCAAAATAGATTTTTTAGTATTTTATCGAATTATTTTTCGAATTTTAATAAAAACTCAAAATAATAGGAAATTACATGTTTTTTGCTACTAAAAGGATATTTATTTTTACTTAGCTAAAATCTAACCCAAATCAGGGTAACTTTGAATAATCAATGTTTCCTAAAAGTGCTTTTTGCAAAAGTGCATTTTTTAAAAAAAAAATGCTGTCTGAGTAACAGATTTTTTTGCAATAATGCAAAATAAATATAATAGATATCTTTTTATTATAGTATTTTTATTATGTAGTAATATATATATATATATATATATATATATATATATATATATATATATATATATATATATATATATATATATATATATATATATATATATATATATATATATATATATATATATATATATATATATATATATAAATTAATTCAAATATGCAGTATAAATTGTTTATTGAACAAATGTTATACAAAATAAAAAATTATCATTTATTGTTAATATTTAATAAAATACTTATAGTACCAAACTAAAGCAAAAATAAAGTTTAAATGATGTGAATGTTATATTTCAAAACTTGGTTGGATGTCCCTGATTATCTAGCACTGATTTTAGTCTTCTTGGGAATGAACTAATTTAAACATTCTGTCTTATAATATTCCAACATTTTTCGATAACATGAAGATTGAGTAAACATGAGGGCCAATTGAGTAATAATTTAATATTATTATTTTTATCATTTACAATAAACCACATATTACCTGTTTTTGCTGTGTGACATGGTGCTGAATCTTGCTGAATTATGCTGGTTTTAGTAATTTCCACGAAGCCAAAGTCACAACACAAATTTCGACTATTTGTTCTCAAACTAATAGTAATTTTTTTGTAGCAAGTTGTGATAATCTTGCAGATGTTGTGTAGAGCTCACAATTAACAAAAGTATAATCTTTAAAATTCTGTCTTCTCGTTATGTACTCAAGTGTTTTCTACCACAATTTTTGATTTTTTGAAGTCTAGCACACGTAAAATATTTTGCGAGGCTGGGGTGGGGGTGGGGGTGTATACTTAACACAAATGTACATTTTTTATACTTATGCCCATAAATCCATTTCGGACAATTTAGGGTAGCTAAATTTCTTTTGCTTTATTTTCTTCAAAAGTAAAAATAAAAATTGGAAAACTAAAAAGTTTAAAAATTGCCCGAATCTTACCGGACTTTTTTACCTTCTACCAGGAAGGCATGGCGATTCTACGAATAAAATATGGGGAGGTGAATCTTTCAAAAGTGAACCTACAAATTCCAAAAAAAAAAGGTTCTCAAAACTAAAATTCACCCCACTGAATGGTATTAAATACCCGACTAAATTCGTAAAAAACCCGACTATAACTTGAAAATTACCTTCTTTGGGGGAGGTGGTGTTGGGGGTTAGAACACCCCTACCCCCTTCCGTAAAATTGCTATAAAATGCAGGTAAGAAAAAATGCTTGTCTAAGTAGAACAGATCCGACGACAGCCGGAAAAAAGGTAGCCCCCCAAAGGACTTTTTTTTTTTTTTTTCATTGAAAATTCTAGATATAGAGGACTTTTTTTTTCAATTGACGATTGTGTCGAAACCCGTGTCGTCGGCCCTGTAGAATACTTCAAATAAGAGGACCAAACAATGGTTTTTTCTTTCATATTTATAATATTTGCTAACAAATTGTAACAAAAAATTTATTAGAATAGTGCCTATTAAAAATCCACTTGTGCTTTTCGCTTCATAGTGCATCGGTATTTTAAGCTGAGCCGACTTAGCTCTTGGCTGTTTTTCTCTTAAATTTATTAAAGTTTGCCTTAAATCTATTTTTAAATGTATTTTCTGCACAATAAAAAAAAAAAAAAAAAAAAAAAAAAAAAATTAATCTATAGTTACGTTTTACTTTTTCTCGTTGGTAGATATTTTTAATAAAATATTGATAAAAAAGACACTCTAGGCCAGAATTTCTAGCCTATTGCTAGAAATTCTGGCGTACCTGTTCACTTCACACTAGTTATCGACCAACCAACGCTGAAACTCTGGAGTTCTTTTTTTAGATCTTCACATATCAGTTTTTGTTAGAATTATTATTATTTTACTCATTATTAAAATAAATATCTAAAGTTGTTGTTGTTGCTATTGTTGTTATTTCAAACACTAGTTACAAAATTATAATATATAAATTTTTAAAATATATTATTAATTGCTGTATTGTATTTTGTTTGTTTTTGATATCTTCTTATTTTATTATTACTATATTACGCCGCTGAACTCAAGAATGATCTAAAAATGTTACAAATCACTTAAGACTTATATTTAGTCAACTGTTTGCATTTTATTTTCCTCAATTTAGACATGTTAAATTTTTATGAAGACGATGAACAGCGTGAAACCGTACAGAAAGCAGTAGAAGGTCATAAGAATGAGTATAAGGAAATATTCTATATTAACAATGGATCACAATCAAATATTTATTGCAGTGCTAAACTGCGTTATCCTGCTACAACTCAAGAAAGATTACTTGTCGGTACTTTGAAGGGCAAAGTCTCTTGTTTGGAAAGAAATGAAAATATAGATTGTCAAAATGAGTTTCATAGTTGTCATGATATGCGAGCTAGAGAAGTGTATTTCTCTTACATTCCAGGTGAAAGATCTTCATTTAATACATTGATTGTTTCTGTTAAACTTAAAATATGACATGCCGCATACTTTTAGGTGATGCAGAAATTATATCAATGGATTCATTTTATCGCCACCAAAGCATTGAAAGAAGCAAATGTCTGGTTGTTGGTGTTACTCTTATACTTTTAAAGGTGAGTGAATTTTTTTTTATTAAATCTCATAGAACCTTCTCAAAATTCACAGATGTTTACAAGTCTAAAATCTTTTTTAATCCTTCAGTGGTGGAGTTATATTTTGAAAAATAATATTGCTAGAATAAATTACTACCATTCAAGAAAGGTACAATTCTCTCCTATAAAGCATAGAATGAAATGGGTTGATATTACGTCAAAGTGTTTATAGAACTCTGTTTAGTGATGGGAATAATAAAATTTTCTCGCATCAATGATTACTGGAGAAAAACAATGGTTTTTTTCTATCTCATCTTTACGTTATTATTTTTTAACATTATATAAATTAATGTTAAGTAAACTAAAGTATTATAATTGTGGAAGAAATCAACTAAATAATATAAGCAAATCTTTTACCCCTTATTGGAAATATATATTCATAATGCTTTTGTACTTGAGTCTTGGTTCACTGACCATCATGCTTGCAGTCATCAAAGTTTTTGCGAGGAATTTATTGAAAAATTAGTAGGAAATACTAGATCTAAAAATGGAAGACCTAGTTATTCAAATAAATATATAAATTACGATATAAAAATATTGGAGTTCATAAACCTTCGGTGAACGATAAGCCAAGAGATTGATAAAATTGTTCTGAAAATATTTGAAAAGCTACTTTAGTTGGTCAGTCCTAGTGCCTTTTAAAAGGTATTTGTAGATTGCATGTTTTTTTCTCATTTTACAATTTCCATTCATGCCTTGATTCAGTCTCCAAATGTTGGAGCATGTAGCATTTATAGTTTTATTCCAAAAATTTATGTTCATATTCACTTGTGTTGACTAAAAACATTTATCAAAATGACTTAAAAATATTTTCTTTCCTTAAAAAAAATTGTAAATTTAATATTTTTTACCTGTCTAAATAAGGAAAGTAGCATATCAAAATAGTTAGTTTTCTTTTGAGGTATTTTTTATATTTTTACTGAATAACAAAATTTAGGTAAAAAAAAAAAAAAAAAAGACATGACCAGAGAAAAATGTTGATTATTCATTTTCTAGTTATCTAAATTAGGAAAGTAACCCTTCAAATGAAAGCCTAATAAATTTTGCACTTTTTTAAAAGCATTTAATTACTACTAAAACAGTTTAGCTAGCTATTTAAAAGGATTAATGAACAAATATTTAAAACTGGAAAAACTTGTCTATAAATATCAAATAATGCAATGTCATCAGTTTATTGTTTCACTTTCTTATTTTAATTTCAAATTTTGTCTGCTTTCTAATGATATATACTTTGTAGTACTTGTTTTGTAAGGAAACTAATATATTTAAGTGTTTACGTGGCATTTTATTGCATTTTTCAAGTCGTTAAAATAAATTCTGGCACGAAAGGGTTAAGATAAAAAACCTGAGAAAAATTTATTTAATATCTATAATATTTATCTAAAGTTCAATTCATAAATATTAGGAGCTCCTATTTTCCAGAGATTTAGCTGAGCATATCTGTTTACATTGCGTATTATTCGCTATTGTTTTATGGGTATTTTCCATAGCATTTTTTACTAAATGCCTATTCATCGCGCAACCGTATTTTATTGTGGAGGCCTACTTTTTTACAACGAAAAAATTATTTCTCCATGTTCAGACCAGATACAATGTCATGTCGTTTATGATATATATTTAAATAATGGAATATAATACAATGTTAATAAACTTATATAATTTAAACATGGAGTTTCAGATATAATTTAAAGCAAATAATATATTTATAAAATTTAAATTAAATCATCATGCCAAATAAATGTTGTGTGTATGCTTGTCACACAAACTATCAAATCGAAAAAAACAAAATATCTAATGAAGTTAATAAAATATCAGTGTATTGGTTTCCAAGTGATAACGTTGAGCATGAAAAATGGATAAAAACTATTCCAAACTCTAATATGGTTGTTACCAAGTATACTGTTATCTGTGAGTTACACTGGCCTCCAAATTTTGATACAGTTATACTGCATGGAGGAAAATGTCGACCAAAAAACCCTTCTTCTGTTTGGCTAGGAATACCTTTATCTCAAATTCCAACTGGTTATCCAACTGAAAGATCTACCAAAAGATCTTTAAGTGGCATTAGAAGTACATTAGATGATGAGCTAGATACATTTCTTAAAAGGGATAAAGCTACTTTTTGTGACATTAAAAACAAGCTTATTGATAGCAGTGATCACCAATATCCAGTTATATCATTTATGGTTAATGGCTTTGTTATTATACAATCTTTGCAATTTTTTAATGGAATACCTTTTTTTGTACTTAAAATTTATGAAAATCTTACCTTTGAAACATTTCATAATGGGATTAAGTGTCACATTTCTTGCTTAACAGTAAATCGAATCTTAACTGTTGACTCCTGGTCTAAGTTTGATGAGATACTTCGTTTTTTAAGCTCTTTGAAAATTGATAATAAAAAAGAAGTAGTTATGCAACATGTTTCAGTTATGGGACCAAAATTAGTTGAAAATAAACTTTATACACCTGAAATACTTATACGCTCTTTTGTATATTTTTTAACATCGAAGGCATTTTATAATCGCTTAAGAAATGATTATCAACTTCCATCTAATCCAACACTGACTCGAATTATTTCAAAAATTTCTAATATTAATGAAAACAAATTTATTTATTCAATTTTAACTCTCTTCCGGATAAGCAGAAATTATGTATCATACTACATGATGAAATATATGTTAAAATAAGTTTGCTTTACCATGGTGGAACTATTTTTGGTAGATCGGAGGATAACCCAGTGGAATTGTCCAAAACATTGTTAGGGATTATGGCTGTTTGTTTAAATGGGGATCCAAAGGTGTTGATTAAAATGATACCAATATCAAAATTACGATCTAATTTTTTGTTTGAACAGATTAATTTAACTAGTCAAATAATTGATTCAGTCAGTGCAAATGTAAAAGCTATTATATGTGATGGGAAACGTGTCAATCAGGGTTTTTTTAAAATGTACACATTCATTCAGGGAAAACCATGGTTAACAGTAGAGGGAAAGTATTTACTTTATGATTTTGTACACCTCATCAAAAATATTCGTAATTTTTGGTTAACTGAAAAAAGGAATTAATATTTGACGATAACGGAGTAACCAGGATTGCAAAATGGACTCATTTAAAGCAGCTTTACAATGCAGAATCCAGAAGCTTTCTAAAGTTATCTGACCTGAATGAAACTTATATTTCTCCTAAACCTGTTTAACGACAGTGTGTATTAACAGTTTTAAGAGTATTTTCAGAAAAAACTTATGCTGCTCTTTTGCAACATCCTGACATGATTCATATTGATGTTAACGACACTGCTAATATTTATTAATAAAGTTATTATTTGGTGGAAAATTTTAAATGTCAAAGCCATTGGTGCTGATACAAGGCATAATGATCCTTTTCAGGCTGTTTCAACAATCCTGATGACAACCGTTTAAATTTAATACTACAATTTGGTGATATGGCACTTAAAATGGCAGGTCCCAAACGTAAGCGTGTTAAACAGCTTTCTAAAGATACTGCAACTTGTATACATCAAACTTGTTATGGATTAGTAGATTTATGTAGATATTTACTTAACACTACGCAAAACTATGTACTTCTTGGTCAATTTACTTCAGATCACCTGGAAAAAGAATATAGTATACTTTGTCAAGGTTCTGGTGGTACATATTTTCTTAGTGTTCAACAAGTTATTGAAAAATTATGTATCAAACATGCATCTTTACTTTTGAAGTTAAATGTAGATATTGACAATTTTAATGTGAAGTCTGGTCATCAATGTGCGTTATGTGATTACAAATTGTCTGAAGACTGCTGCGAAATTCTTGATAACTTGCAAGATCTAGAATCTTCTATTGCTGATGATGTCAAAATGTCACTTATTCACATTGCTGGTTATGTTACACAAAATGATAAAGAACAAACTGATTATGAACTTTTAGATCAAACAATGTTCAGAAATATGGTCAGTTTTCTAAATTTTTGGATCGTGGTGGATTAAAAGTTCCAACTGATAATTCGTGCCAATGGACATTTTTTTGTTTTGTAGTTTTTCAAATAGTTAAAGATCATGTATGCCGAAAATATTTAAGTAGTATTTTAATGATTATATCAGTCTATTATTTATTGGATATGGAAGAACATCATTGTGTAATATTGAGCAACATTTAAAAAAAAAATTATGTACCACTGTCACTTCAAGGTCTGGCAAAGAACCTGCACTAAAATTATTAAAAATCTCTTAAAAGTCTACTTAGTTGTCTACTGTTTATAATATATTCAGTATATTTTTTTATAAAAGATTTATAAAAGTTTCATATATTAGTTTTTTTTTTTCTGATTTTGTTAACAATTTTGATCAAAATTTATCTAATATTTTTTGTTTGGTTTAATAACATTTTTACTCAATATAAAAAAATATCAATTTTGTATTTAGCTGTTAAAGCTAAAACTAAAGGTGAAATAATATAATTATGTAAATGTGTGAAACTTGAAATTAGAAAAAATTTCTTTGCCTTTTATTTACATTGTTTATTACTTAATATTAATTTTCTCTTTTCATAAAAAAAAAATTATTAGGCTATACAGAGAATTAAAGTTACTTTTTAGTTTTAAAATTACGAAGCTATTATCTTTTTTGCCGTAAAAAAGTAGGCCTCCACAAAAAAATTCGGTTGCATGATGAATAGGCCTGTAGTAGAGAACGCTATGGTATTTTCGCAAAAAAAAAGTGCAATAGTTGTATATATATATACAATAGTTGTATGTATATATATATATATATATATATATATATATATATATATATATATATATATATATATATATATATACATACATACATAAATATATATATATATATATATATATATATATATATATATATATATATATATATATATATATATATATATATATATATACATATATATATATATGTATATATATATATATATTTATATATATATATATATATTTATGTATGTATGTATGTATATATATATATATATATATATATATATATATATATATATATATATATATATATATATATATGTATATATATATATATATATATATATATATATATATATATATATATATATATATATATATATATATATATATATATATATATATATATATATATATATATATATATATATATATATATATATATATATATATATATATATATATATATATAAATATATAATCAAATTTTGTTTAAAAGCAGAGTTAAGCTTTTATTAGAAAATTACTGGTAAATCGATAAAGTTGTATCAAAACATCTTTCTATAAACCTTGTTATTCTACCTTAAGTTTCATTTATTTTTTTTAAAATGAAAATCCAATTTTTTGAACGTGCATCATTTATAATATTTTTCTTTGCTATCACTGTTGAGACCTATGGTGACGAGATCCCTATTAATAAATAGCGACTATTTTTAGACATATGCTATTTATTCAGTAAAACTTCTAAATATTTATTTAGCAAAACTGCTAAATAGTATTTGCTAAAAAATAATAGTTTAAAATGCAGTATGGCAAAAAAATTTTTATTACTTTAATTTATGTAGCCTTTTTAAGTGTTACTGGCTCTAAATATTTGAATTTATATATACCTTTTTTATATTTTATGATAAGATTTTGTATCAAATTTAACTCATGCTAAATGACACTAATGAATCTCTTCAAATTTAGTTTTAATCAAATTTATCTAGTTACTCAAACTTAATCTAATATTTATTTTATTTATTTTTATTTGCTTTTTATATTTCTAATTTATTTCTTCTTTCTATTTTCTGCTTTATATAAAAAAAAAAAATTACCTTTTGCAATTTAAATGTTTACACTGATAACTTTTACAGTTCAAACGTTTCTACTAATGACTTTTACAGACAAACTGATGAAGAGATTTTACTTTTAAGCCAAATGAATCTTCTGCGTATGAGCCACAGCACTATTTTAATATCTATATTGCTTTGGAACCTGGTACAGAATTTGATCTTGATAAACTTGCTCGTAAGTTTTTTTTCTCGTTGGATTTTATTATCAGAACTGATTCTTAATATTACAAATCAAAAGTATTACAAAATAAAAATAAAGTTACTTGACTGTAATAAATTGTTTGTAAGTTATTATAACATTGTAATAATTGTTTGAAACATTTCAAAAATCAAATAATTGCATTGAATTTATAGTTCAATGGTCTCCAAATATGGAACCTCTATCTTCCTTTGAGCTGTTGATAAGTTTTGTATGGAATGTGATCTAAAGAATAATGTCTAAGGAAGAAAGTCTTAAAAAATAATACTCAAAAAACAAAAATTGCTTAGATCAAACAAACCAAAAATGAAAATTTTTGTTAAAAACTAGTCTTTCTGTTTTTAATTATGATTGCAAAAAACTATTTTTAATTCTTCTTTAAACTCTCAATATGCTTCTGCTATTTCAAGGTAGGATGCATAGCTTATGCATATTTTTATTCAGAATACTTGTTAACAGATCATGTTAGATTTACAATTTAATAAAAAGATTAAGAAAACCTCTGAATCTGAAATTATACAGTTTCTACCTTGATATCATAAATTAAAGATATATGATATCAAGGTAGAAACTGTATATATATATATATATATATATATATATATATATATATATATATATATATATATATATATATATATATATATATATATATATATATATATATATATATATATATATATATATATATATATATATATATATATATATATATATATATATATATATATATATATATATATATATATATATATATATATATATATATATATATATATATATATATATATATATACTTTATTGTTTTGTTGATGAACTGAGTACCTACTCTGTTATGCTTCTAAATGAAAAATTTAGGTAAAAACTCCAATATTAATTGCCATTGATTGACAAAAATCAAAATATTTGTTGAAGAATTTTCTACTAGAAATAAATAAATATCAGAAGAATTAAAATCATTTCTTGAAATAAGTATTTTTTTAAACAATAACTTTTAAATATTTCAAAAATTATTTTAGACTATCAGAATTTGAGATGATTGTTTAAAAGTTTGGTGCTTCAGAAGTGTTAGTAGCTATTGTGGGTTTTAGTAAACTAAAATGCACTAGAAAAGTTGTTCTAGCTTAGCCAACAGCTTACTAAGTTTTTCTGCTTCTCTTTGTTTCTTTTGCAAATATTTTCACCTTATCATTTTGACAAATAGTTTTATAAAATTTTAAAAATTAGAAAATTTAAATGAATATAAAACTTTAAATAACATTTTTTTAAATCATCAAAATGTTCATCAATGCTGCTAAAGTTTTTTTTTAATATTTTTTTTTATATATAAATAATGTTTACTGTTTGACTATTATCGAAAGTTAGTATCTGTTGTTAGCTTTTCTGTTTGTGCATTTTTTAAATTCTTTTGTTGCAATAGTTTGTTGTTTTATTTCATGTTTTGAAAGTCTTTAATTTATGATTTTTTTCGCTTTAATTTTTTTGGCTCTCTTTTCACTTCTAAATGTAATTTTTGAATTGTTTATTTTTAGAATAAGATATATGATTTATTTTAAGATATTTAATTTTTTACGCTTACTACTTTCTTTTATTTTTGGCTTTTGTCTTTAAATTGCCTTCTTTATATATAATTTTTTCTTTTCACTATATTGTTATTGTGGTTACTATTATTGATATTATAATTAATTTTATTATTATTAGGTTGAGGTCACTCTATTTTGACACCACAACTATTGGCATCAATCTAATAATAATAGTTAATTAGTGTCGCTCTATTATGATGCTGAGCTTGTGGTTATGTCATCAGTCAATTTGAGTTTAAAAAGTGCTAAATGTTGTGTGGTAGGTTAATAACAGTTGTTCATTTATAGTCAATCAGAGATATTTTAAAGTAAAACAATTTTGCCTTTTTGTTTGGACTAGAAAAATTCCAATAACATATTGTTTAAAAGGATATTTATGAAAAAAAGTTTTGAAAAATCTTTTCAATAAATTGTTTTTGTTTTTTTTTAAATGTTACTAAAAATATTTAATAATATATATTGAAAATATATAAAAATAAATGTGATGAAAAAGTAGAAATAAACTTTTTAACATGAAATTGTGTACTATGTGTGGTTCTTAGTGATGACCTTTATTAACAGTAGGTACTAATCACAAGGCTCAGGTGGTTACATAAACAATAATGGTTGGTGAATACATTAACAATATGATATAAGTAGCTGATATAATGGTCAAGGTTTATATTTCATTATATTTCAACCAAGTTGAAGAAAACTTTGTGGGTCATCATCTCTGATTTTCCTAATTTTTACATATTGTTATGTGTAATATGTAGATAGGTTAAATTTGAAATTTCAGACTTCCATGTACAATGGTTCAGATATTATAGCCTTAGAAACATGGCACAGTGCCCCCCCTCCTCAATTTACAAATGGTCTAACACGAACTACTTTAGAGCTGTATAACTTTTTTCTCACTTTCAACAAGTGTCTCATTTTTTCTAGAACTATTTTCCGGATAGTTTTCTCTTTAAAAAAGTGGTTTTTATTAGTTTGTTTTAAATTAAAGAAAAATTATGACCTCCTCAACTTTGGAAAAAATCCTAAAATTGCTAAAATATATCAAAATGAAACTAACTGTAGCATTTTTCTATTCATCCACAAGTCTGTACAGATAAGTTTTCTGATTAGCTACTGCTGTCTACAATAAATGGGCAAAATATAGGCAGCTTGTTGAAATTTAGATCTCAAATAAATCTAAAAGCAAAATGTCCATTCACCTAAAAAGTCAAATTTTCAGCCATTTTGAGATGCATGTAAATTTTTCAAACACTTTGTTTTGATCTAACATTAACAGCATATAAGACCATTAGACCCAACCATCTGGAAATGGAAACATTAGTTTATATAAATATACATATTATATAATGATTTGACCCATAAGCTAATAATGGCTGGTTGTTACATAATGGCTGGTTATTACATTAATAATGGCTGGTTATTACATTAACAACATGATATTAGAATCAGCTGCAAGATTTTTGATATCAAAAACTTTTCAGTTGTTAAAAATAAAACATTCTAAGATGAACATTGTGAATATCTTTTTTGATTTTCTTATTTGTGTATCTTTGATTTTTTATGTACTTTAAATTGATTTTTGTGTATTCTGAATATCATTAAAATTCAATTGTGTTTTACATGTTAGATAACAACTGATTTCAAATTATCATAGGTTAGTTAGTAGTTTGTGAAGTGTTGGAAGGAGGCAGTAAAAGGGCTTTGGGGGTAAGAGTAGATTTCTGGGCTACATAAGTTTGACAATATTTAAAAAAAAAATAGATTTTGACTACTGTTATAGTTATTTTTTTTAAGTTTTTTTTAATTTTTTTTTTGTTTTTTTTGTTTTTAAGTTTTGAATACTTTTAAAATAATTTAGAGGTTTGTCAACATCAGCGACTTGATTTTGCACCTTATCATCTTCATCATGCAGAGTAAGTAAAGAACTTTTTTTTATATTATAATATACTAAAATTACCTTTGTTAGAAGTTGAAAAATTTCTGTAGTCATTTAGAATATAATATTAATTAATTGTCAAAGCATGTTCATTAATTGTGAAGCTTTTTTTTAAAAAATCAGTTATAAAGCATTTCTTGTCATTAATCAAGCATGTTGTGTTGATCAGTTGTTAAACATTTTTCCTCAGTAGTGATCAACTAAAGTTCTGTTTCAGTATCGGTTTTGGCCAAAATTTCAATTTGAACCAATATCGAAATTTCTGTTTTGGTACTTTCTATAAATTTGGTGAAAAGCAAAATTTTGGTTGAAAAATATACCAATACCGAAAAATTTGTAAGATTTTAAATTTTTAGCTAATTTAAAAAATATTTATTTTTGAAGATTTATATAACTTATGTATTAAATCATAATCTGTGAATCACATGTGAATCAGTTCTTACATAACACACATAAAAAAACAAATGTACAATTTTTTTTAAAATAAAATTTTCTAATAAAATTAATTTTGACTTGCCAAAATGTTGGTATTGGTTTCGATAAAATATTTACTAAAATGTCAGTTTCGCTTTTGGCACCAAACTAGAGTACCCGAAATTTCTGTTAGTTTCAGTTTCAGTATTTTTTCTGTTTCGGTCAATCACTAGTAATCAAGCATGTTGTGTTGATCAATTGTTAAACATATTGCGTTCCTTAATAACAACTGTGGAGTCAAAGTCATGGAGTTGGAGTTGCAGCAATTGTAGCGGAGTGGGAGTTGCTAAACAAAATTGTGACTCCGACTCCTATAGTTAAACTTCTTGATATTGTATGTGCATGTACAAAATATTTAACCTTCAAAAATTTTTTTATATATTTGGCTAAAAATAAGTTTTTTAAATTATCGCGTAATATTTTTTAAAGAATTCTAAGAATTTTTCAAAAATTTGTGATAAATTTTTTTTTTTTTAATTAATTAACTAATTTTTTTTTTTTTGTTTTAACTCAAAACATATATATCTTTAAACAACATAACTCAAAACAAAAACTTTAATATATATATATATATATATATATATATATTATATATATATATATATATATATATATATATATATATATATATATATATATATATATATATATATATATATATATTTATATATATATATATATATATATATATATATATATATATATATATATATATATATATATATATATATATATATATATATATATATATATATATGTATATATATAAATATATTAAAGTTTTTGTTTATATATATACAGGCTTGGACAGGAATAGTGTGCCATTGAACGCTGTAACTGACTACGCTTATAATATTTTTTCTTTACAATTTGACCATTTGGTGTTTTAAATTAAAAAAATAGTTCTGTTATAAATAATTTTTAATCTTTGATCTTTTCTGAAGTTTTTATTTTACGCGAAAGCTTTAAATAAAATAAAAAAGTAATTATAGTGATTGTTTGAAATAAGCGTATTTTGTGTAAAATAAAAAATAATGTTATATTTAAATTTTTTTTGTGTAGACGTTTTTTTAATGGTATATTTAAGTATAATAATTTGTTTGAAACTTTCTTTCCATATCTTTTTAAAAATCTTTTGAAAGATAATTTTTAAAATACTTATAAGTTAAATTAAATCTTCCATTGCAATGGAATGATTTAATTGCTTTATTTGTTTTTGTTTCTATTTCCAAAAGAATTGCTTAAAACCTTTTTTAAATTCACTAACTAATCAGAGGATGAAATGATTAAATATTGCTATTTTAAATAGACTACAGTAATTTTTTAAATAATTTTTTTTTTGCAACTTTTTTAAGAAAATGTTTATACAAATATAAAATAATATATATAACACTTTTTGGTAATTTAAATAAAATTTTTTCATTTATTAAACAATTATTAGTAGAAATTTGCAAAAGCGTTTTGCGTAACTTTAATAAAACATTTTAAAAGATAAATTCTTAGTAATTTATTTTAAATGCAATTAAAAATGTAACAAAAAGTAACTTTCGCTTTGAGTTTTTTGAATTTTATTTTATTGCTTATATATTTTCTTTTTCGTAAGGAATATCTTTTTTATATTTATTTAAATTTCTTTCCTAGTTAAAGTTTAGCTAGCATTTCTTTTTTCAGTCCATTTCTAAAAGGTTTAAAAATCATCTAAACAGTCGTGGTCAAATTGTCAAAATGTAAAATCATTTGTGTGGTCAGCATTAGCTCTCAATTGCACGCCTTCCCTGTTCAAGTTTGTATATATAAAGGTATATATATATATACCTTTATATATATATAAAGATATATATATATATATATATATATATATATATATATATATATATATATATATATATATATATATATATAAAGGTATACATATATATATATATATATATATATATATATATATATATATATATATATATATATATATATATATATATATATATATATATATATATATATATATATATATATATATATATATATATACATATACATATATATACATATATATATATATATATATATGTACATATATAAATATATATATATATATATATATATATATATATATACATATATATATATGTACATATATATATATATATATATATATTTATACATATATATATATATATATATATATATATATATATATATATATATATATGTATATATATATATATATATATATATATATGTATATATATATATATATATATAAATAAATAAATATATATATATATATATATATATATATATATATATATATACCTTTATATATAGAGACTTGAACAGGGAAGGCGTGCGATTAAGAGCTATATATATATATATATATATATATATATATATATATATATATATATATATATATATATATATATATATATATATATATATATATATACACATATATGCTTTTTTAAATAATGAAAATAATATTGTAGATTGAAAAAAATCATTAAACTGTAAATTTTATAAATAGCTTGTTGTCCCGATATGCTCCACAAAAGTCATTTTACTGAAATTAAAACTATTCAAAAAATTCAATTCGAGATATTTTTTTAAAACCAGATTCTAAAAAAGGATAAAAATACTGTCTGAAAATTATAAACTTTTTATAAATAAAACAAATTAGCAATAGTTCAAGATAAATCGTTTGTCATTGTATCGGTTAAGAAAATACGCAAATTTTGTTTTTACAAACATACTGTTGCGTTTTGGTACTTTTAATGCATTTCAGTATTTTTAAAATTAATTTTTTTTTACAATAATGAAGCACTATAATTTAAAATATTTTATCAAAAAAAAATTATTTTTCTAAAATTTTTTTTTTAGCAGAGATATATATATCTTCAGGCATAACTGTCTTGTTATGCCCCACCGTCCTGATATGTCCCGCTCTACCCTATCAAAAAAAAAAACAACATCCATTTACACAAATGCCAAGCAATAAAAAAGAAATATATATAAATAATTTTTCCGCATCTTATTAGGAATTATTATGCATTGATTAAAATAATATAAAAATACATAATTCTTAATATATCTTCGAAAATTAGAGTTTAATTTGCCATGTCGTTGTGAAGCCATGTTTAATTTTATGTTTTCATATTCATCTTCAATAAATGAGACAGTCGATATTTTTTTTTTTTTTGGTGTTGTCCAATCAATGTATGCAGCGCTAAAGCAAAGTAGAAAAGAAAGATAGCAACAAGACCCCACCCATTCCCAGAACACATTTTAATGTCAGAGGAAGGGATGGGGGTGTAGGAAGTGATTGGGAATTATTTAAATAAATTCCCAATTTCGTCAAAACGCTGTATTTAATTTATTTTGGGTTAACATCCTGATAAATTTATAATTGATTATAATTAATATATAAAATATGTAATCTATTACATAAAAAAATTATTACGCACTAATTTAATGTGTTAATAGTTTTGTATTATTGTTAAATTTTGCTAAGGCTTTCGACACAATTCCGCACAGGAGACTGTTAGCCAAACTGAAAGCATACCACTTTGGTGGTCTGCTACTCAAATGGATTGCTGTCTTCTTAGAAAGCAGAAGGCAGAGAGTTGTTTAAGGTGAAATCATTTCTGACTGGGTTAAGAGTTTTAGGGGTCTACCGCAAGGTTCTGTAATTGCAGCACTTTTATCTGTTTTTTACATTAATGACCTTCCAAAAAAATTGCTTAATGTAACCAAACTATATGCTGATGATACAAAAGTACTTTCTCAATTATCCTCAGAGCTATGCTCTACTAATTTTCAAAATGATCTAGATATTGTTTACAAATGGTCTCAAACTTGGCTTCTTTTGTTTAACACATCAAAATGTGTAGTTATGCATTATAGCCACAATAACAGATATAGAAGGAGATCTCGGAATGCTTTTCAATACAAGTTTAAAATGGAAAAATCACTTGATTAATGCTTCTAACAAAACAAATCAAATGCTTGGTTGTATCAAAATATTATTTGTTTGTTTCGGTTATAAGTTACTTCATTTGCCTTATATTACTTTTATTCGTCCATAACTAGAGTTTGCAATTCTTGTATGGTCTCATTTCTTAAATCAGATTGTGACTATATTGAAAGAATCCAGTACAAAGACTCAGTCAAATCCTCAATCGGAAATCTTTTCCTATACAAAAAGACTCAAAGAATTAAACCTAACTACACTAGTGGAAATGAGACAAAGAGGAGATTTTATACAAATGTATAAAATTGTGAATAATATTGACAAATTAGAAAAAGGCATTTATTTTCCAATCGTTAACAATCATACAAGAGTCGCTGCTTTAAATATTTCAAGGAAATGACAAAACATAAGCATAGTAAAAACATCTTCTTTAATCGAGTAGTGAATTTATGGAACTCTCTGCAAGAAGAAGTTGTTAAAACCGCCTTCAATCAATAGCTTTAAAGCAGAAATTGCTGGATGAGCATCAATCGATCATTTTGGCTGTCAAAGTGTGCAAAACAAAAAATCAGAATTGATTTCTAAATGTAGACATAAAGATAAGTTTCTCCTAAAAAACATTAAAATTAAGTTAGCTCATAAAATAATTATATTAAATCTCTCATTAAAAAATATATTTAAGATAGAAAGCAAAATTAAACAATTCTAAATAATTCTTTTAATAATAATGCCAGCATATTCCACAAATGCTTGTTCTCTTTGTTCTTCTTTAGGTAGTTCCAACCATTAATTGAACTTTATTAATTTTAATATTCTACTTCTACTTCAGACCCTATCATCACACTACTTACTTTTAGCATAAAGCTGAATGCTAGCATTCAGCTTTATGCTAAAAGTAATGAGATCCAAGAAATCTATTGCTATTGACAGATCTAAAGATTTTGATAAAATTAGGCTTGCTGTTCTTCTTTATAAGCTTACTTCATATGGTGTATCTAGGAAAATTTTCAAGATTATCAAGTCATTTCTTTTTAACTCCTTTATTAAAGTCATTCTGGTAACTTCTGGGGTACCTCAAGGTTCTATCCTTGGTCATATTTGTTTCTTATCTATATTAATGATTTTTTCAACAACCTTTTATATAAAGTGGCTCAATTCGCTAACCACTCAACTTTATACTCCTGTCTTAATAAAAAGTCTTATCTTTTTGATAACTTAGAACAGGCAGCAGACCTTGAATATGATCTCACTTCTGTAACAGATTAAGGCTTGCAGTGGCTTGTGAATTTTAAATATAACAAAACAGTTATTTACTGCAAACAACTATCTCAATACTGTCCTATATTGGCGAAACCCTCTCACGGAATCCTATTCTTTAATTCTTCTTAAATTATTGTTCACAACTGATCTCTCATGGACATCATATATACAATCTATTGCAAAGTTAGTATCTGCTAAGATTGCTTTGTTTTATTGAGCTTGCCATTATTTTATTTTTGATTCTATTCTTTACAAATCTCATTTCATCCCTGTGCTCTCATGTGGTTAATGCAAAGAGTGGGATGGGTTTATAAGGGATTGTGGGATTTTAGTTTTATTTAATAAGCAAGGGGATGAGGTTCCTAATAAATGATTTGGTGTAAACTTTTGACAGAATGCTAAAATAGTTAAAATTCTAACTTAATGTAATTTAGTATACGTTAGCAAAACAAAATTAAAATGTTAAATTACTCTGGCAAATAATCGGTAATTATTTGAACTCATATGTTTAGCTAAATGTTCCAGTACTTTGCAATAGAAAAAACAATATCCAACCTCTAGCCATTCTAAAGTGTGTAGCTGTTCTAAAGTGTGTAGCTATACTTAAAAACATATTCTTTCTATCCATTTCAAATACCAAATTTGTTCTTGCTTGTACAATACATAAGTAAATATTGTATTCTTTAAAGGAAAGATTTTGTTGATAAAACTAACATTGCCCGGTTTTATTTTTTCGTAAAAACAAAATCTAAATGCTGTAGTTCTGTTGCACCACTAGTGCTACCCATCGTTTTCTACTGATTGTGGTGAAAATCATATCTTCTAAATAATTTTTTTGGCAAACTACGGCGTGCATTGTTTGTAAAGTTATGGAGTCAATCATTACAGAATGTATTTTAAAGTTACTTACTAATTAATAAATTTTAATTTCTGTTTTTAATCCAGCATTTTAAAGTGTAGATCCACCTGTGCCAATAAAATTGTTGATATAAGGAGCTATCATCTTTAGTTCCATCTACCAAAACTCATTATCACTTAACTCATCATTCAGCTAAGTCACATCTTTTTATTGTATCTGTCCTTGCATGCTCTAAAAACTTTTATTCGTCTATTTTTTTTCCCCGCGCTTCAAACCTTTAGAACATTCTCCCATCTTCATGTTTTCCTGACTTATCCAGTCAATTTTTCAAGTCTTTCAATTGCTTCCTTGCTTTTTAACTCTATTTTTTTTTTCCTTATTACTCCCAAATTAATAGTGGTTGCTTACATCCTTGTTGGCAGTGAAATAAAATTAAAAAAAATAATAAGATAATAATAAAAAATAACACAAATATATTCTAAAATCTTGCTTTTTAATAGATGCTGTTTACTGTTTAAATTCTTAACAAAAAATATTTTATTAAGAAGTTGGACATTAAAATAAAAAAAATATATTATAAAAAAAATATATTTTTAAAAAAGCTCAATTTCCTACTTTAAGATTTTTAAATTTAATATTTTATAAATTTTTTGGTATTTTTGTTTTTTTGAATGTTAAATCACCTCCCTATAGCCACAAAGGCCACTAAAGTTGAGAAGACTACTCCAATTGTGGTTACAACCTCCTAACTCTATAACTCCGAAACATAAACCTTGATAAACAAGATTACTGCACAGAGTTGATAATTTGTAAATGAGTGTTTATTGTTTGCAAACTTGTATATTCCTCTTACTTCATGCTCATTATAAGGTCACAAGTGATATCTTAAGACCCATAAATGTTTTGCTAAAAGAGAAAAAGTGAAATATAAAAAGTTGATAGTTTATTCGTGCTGGCTACTACAAGCTGGAGGAGATTAGAAAAGACAATAATGCTAAAGTTCAAGGATATTGCTTAGCTTTTAGATATTTTTTTCTAAAATCTTAACACTTTTAGATGTCTAAATTCAGATTAATATAAGACAGCTATTAGTATTCATCTTTTAGAAATAAAGATACAAATAGTTCAATTTGCATAAATTTTTTTTATTAAACTTAATTTCTTTTTTTTCTCTCTATCTTTTTTACTTTTATTGCTTTTTAATTTTTTTTTTTAAATAGAATTTTAGTGAACGACATCTATGAAACAGTGTTTTTGTTGGCTGGAAGTGATGAAAAAATTCATTTATTTAAAGGAGATGTAAGTTTTTTTTATTTTGATAAATATTTAAATAAGCAAATAAATTTATAAAGAAATTTGTTTTTTCCCTAAATATATAAAATTTAGGCGTTTAACTTTTTTAACTTTAGATCAAAAAATTTATTGAATATGTTAAATACCATTACATGTTTTATAATTATATTTTTATATACAAAAGAATCAACAATGCTTTGCCGAAGAACCTTGCGGAAATTATTTCCCTGAATTTAATGCTATTACTGGACGGTAAATTTAAATTTTTATTTTATTTTATCAATCAATGTTTTTATTATCAATCATCATCATCATCATTATTATCATCATCATGGTCATCATCATCATGATCTATTTGTGCGATAAAAAATTATCAAATTGCAGTAAATTACAGTGAAGGGATTCATATCAGTATCCTTTGATAGTTTACATTTGCATATCATTCATCTCCTTTCGCCTATACAAATATCCTAAATTTTGAGAAATAGGGAGAAAAAAAAAAAAAATTAATTCAGAATCACACTGTTGATATAAAGTAGTCAGATTTTTCGTATTTTATAAAACTTTAGTTTAAAAAAATAGTATTTTTTCAAAACTGGCCATAGTTCACATTTTAGTCATTTTCTAACTGAATAATAGGTAGCTATGTTCCAGCTAAAAATTTTTATAGAAAAGATTGAAGATTTAACAAAATTTTGAAATTATTTTTGCGACTCATCTTTGTTAAATATGTTTAAGCTCTCATTATCATTAAATTTTTAGATTTGCTACTATTTTGTAGCAAATCTAACCATTTTATAAATAGTTTTTTTTTGTGCTTTATTTTCAAAGTTAAACAAATTCATCATTCCGTTGGAACTAGAAATGCTACTTAAGTGCAGCATTTCTATTTTTACAAAAATTTTATGAGAATTTTATGAGAAATAAATAAGTTAATCTAACTTTAAAAAAGCTTACTGGGGATAAAAAGTTAATATTTTTCATATTTAACTATGAAATGTTTTTCTATTATTATTTCATTGATTATAAATATTTTAGGGTTCTTCAATAATGTCTCACTCGGCAGGTTTCAGATAGATTTGCTACATAGGAGCGATCCTGCGTTCGTAAAGAGTTTTAAAGTATTATTTCGCCACTTATAAAAGTCATACTAATCTGAATATCTATCTGCATTTAATTTTCTCTAAACAACATCATCCACAATCTGCCCTTAGTATCACATCTCTATGTCCATCTGAATGGACAGATCTGTAAATCACCTGCATTCTTTTTTTTTTTCATTGATTATAAAGTTTTCTAGTAATGTGCTCTAATGGCTTAGGATAAGCTTTGGCTTAGGGTAAGTTTTGTAAAAATGTGTTATCCCCAATAGTTTTTTTTCAGCAATTTAAAAAATGTAAATCATGTTCAAAAAACCTCTGCACACAAAAGCGTAATATGGAATAAGATATAAAAAATAAATAACAAATAAGAATAACAAAAAGGGAATAACAAAAAGCGCACTAAAATAAAAATGAAAAAAAATGTAGTGCCACTAATTCACACATTTTTAAAATAAGATAATAATTTCATTAGTTTTTCTGTGTTATAAATGATTCAAACTGGGCCAATAGTTTCTCCAAATTTAATTTTTTGGCTACCTTATTTCTGATAATAACCAAAACCAGACTACTAACTTTCATTGAAATTTAACAAATCTAAATACTTTTTCAATTTAGAATAAAGAAACGCTGCTCTGTCACTGCCAATGTGTAAAAAAATATGCAAGTGATTTTTAGTTCCTGATTCGAAAAGAGAAACAAAGATTAATATAGTAGTACATCTTTTCCTTGCAGTTCCTTAATTCTGTTTCTGTAGAAATCTACTCACAATACTTAATTGTAGTTGAAACCTGAGATAAAAACTTTCTAGACTCTTTTTTCAGTTCTGTGTTTTAATTTACCTTAAATTTCAAAATTGCTAGTCATATCTATTAGCCTATCAAAGGTAAGGTAGATTGCCATTTTTGATTTAAGAAAAATTAAATCAAATGGTTGAAGTATTATAATTTAAAGGTTATAACAACAAAAATTGCATTTGCTAATTAAAAATCAATTTGTGCATTTAAAATTTTCAAAAAAACAAAAAATAGTTTTATATTTTGTCTTAATATTCATAAAATCAACACATAGGATAATAGATTCCCTGTCATGCGTCTAGTTGTTGTCACTTGGTCACTAAGAGACATGCAGAGCAAAAATTGATTGCTGTAAGGTTTCGAAATCGTGTTGGAAAAAAAAAATCTGTTCGCTTTTCAAATGGCAAATGTGTGACAGTCATAACTTTAAAAATAAAAAAACACATTGTGACAACGATTGTGGTGACGACTAGGCACTTAACTCTATGTATTATATTTTATGTATTATTTATAGTAAATATATACAAAACTATCATTATATTAAAAAAATATTTATCAAACCATCATTTTTTAAATTAAAAATTATACGGATAACTATATATTTTTTCTTGACTAATCCTGGAAGTAAAGTTAATATGTCAAATACTTGTAACTAAAAACTAATATATATATTACATTTTTTATTTTCATTGATCATCAGTAGAAAAGCTCAAAACATAAAGGAAATCAATAAACAAAACCTATTCCAAAAATACAATATTCTCAGTAAGACATATATATATATCCTCCGTAAGATAATTTTTTTTTTGTATCTAATTTTATTAATAATTTTATTAATTCCATATTTTTATAATAACCGCTGACCATGGTCAGTGCTTTCTAATTTTTGTCTGACTAAGCTTTCTATAATTGGTAAACATCGACTAATTTCGTTCTTGAAAATAACCATTAAGATACGTTATCGCTATGATCCATTTCCCGAATTTCACAAATTTCATCATCATTCCTTGAGACATCTGCATTTATTGATTTTGTTAACAATAATAGTTTGTCATAGATGGATTTTGGATTACTTAATTGTAGAATTGGATTGTCTTTAATTTTTTTACGAATATACGGAATATAGCAACCTTGAAAATCATGATCCTTGAAAAGATGCAAGATTTCTGCAATTTCATTTGGGGTCCATACTTGTCTTATTGTACTCGTACTAGCTGTTAGCTTGTTAACAATATTACTAAAATCCTGATTAGAAGAATGTTTTAGCACATTTTTTATTCGGTTTTCATATTCGTTTGGGATCAAAATTTTTTTTTCAATTTTGTTTATTGATTCAGCTGTATTTTTCATGGTTTTTATAAGATTGTTTCTAGCAGCTGTTTTTTTTTTATGTTTTATGTGATTTGCCAGGCTTTCTTTAAGGCCATCGTTTATATCCTCAGAATTATAAAAAGTGGTAGTAATGCATTTTCTAATAAGAGTTGCAGAAACTGGACAAACCCTGTTTGATATGGTAACTTTCTTCAAAAAGGAATCAAGTTGTCTAGAAAATCCATAAAGGAATTTGAACGACCATATTACAAAGAAGCTCTTATCTGGACCTGATGGATTTTTATCATTAATTTCTGAAACTTTGGTGCTGAAGAAATTAACATAAAATCTCATTTGACTATTGATTTCAGGCGTTAGTACAACATGGGCTGATTCGTACTTTTGTTTAGTCTTATGATGTTTGGAATTTATTATAATATTATTGGTGCTGTTATCAACTTTTCTGTTTTCAAGTTCTCTGAGAAGCATATTAACGCAATTTCCAGCACGAGCTGAATTTCTTAAGCAGCAAATACTGGGTAAATAATCTCTTACTAAAACAAATCTATCTCTATTAAAATCATTACTATTGCATATTATTGGCATACTAAACAGCTTTCTTGCTTGATAAGATACCCCTGAGTTATATAACTTTTGAAATTCTTTAGGATCAATCATATCAGCGAGATCTTTTTCTAAGACTTCCCATTCACGTTGATCAACCTCATCACAATAACTTGACCTTCAATTTTGATATTTTTTAATAACCCTTTCATTGTATCTAGATTAACTGTGCACAGTACAGATATTTTTTTTTGTAGAAGAAACCATTTTTTTTCTGATCAAAAACTCTATAAATTTACTGAGCAAACTAAGATAAAATATTTATACCATTTTAAAAAAAAAAAAGTTATTTTCATAATCAAATTTAATAGAAATATTTTACTTTCATTAGATTCAAAGTCTTTGTTAAATAAAGTTATGTTTATTTTTAATTCGCTTTACTCTGGTAACTCTTTCTAAAATTATAATACATAATTCAGTCTTCTCCGTTTGAAATTAAAAAAAAATAGCAAAAAGAATGCTTTGAATAAATACTAAATAAAATAATTAAATTTTTTTTTTTTTTTTGCAAGCACTTTTTATTGGGCTTGCCAAAGTTTTTGCAGGCGTAGGGAAAGCGCAAAAAGACTTAATCGCGAAAACGCTGGCTAAACAGAGAAGACTGATAATTAATTTGCAAATACAAACACAAAAATTTTGTATAAACATATCTATATCTATATCTATATATATATATATATATATATATATATATATATATATATATATATATATATATATATATATATATATATATATATATATATATATATATATATATATATATATATATATATATATATATATATATATCAACCCTCGAAATTAGGGTTGGCATTTGGGGATGTTGACCTAACTGCCAACCTGAAAGTGTTTGAGATGGGCAAAAAATTGCCAACCTGGTTTCAATGTTTTATGGTCAGACCATTGTATCAAATAATTTTTGCCGACCTGATTTTTCCTAATTCCGAGGGTTTATATATACATATACATTTATATATGTATATATATAAATTTATATGTATATATAAAGACCTTAACTTAATTAATTAAAATGCAAATTATTGACAGCAAATTATTGCCGACCTGATTTTTCCTAATTCCGAGGGTTTATGTATACATATATATATATATATATATATATATATATATATATATATATATATATATATATATATATATATATATATATAAATATAAATATATATATATATATATACATACACACACACATATATATATATATATATATATATATATATATATATATATATATATATATATATATACATATATATATATATATATATATATATATATACATACACACACACACACATATATATATATATATATATATATATATATATATATATATATATATATATATATATATATATATATATATATATGTATATATATATATATATATATATATTAT